AGCTTCGTTCTTAAGAAACGATGCATTATATCAATATCAGCATATTCTTGCTTGTCAAAAGATTCACGCAATATATCGATATAATATGTCGTTGCTTCGTTTTAAGAAACGACGCATTATATCAATATCAGCATATTGTTGCTTGTCAAAAAATTCACACAATATATCAATATAATATGTCCTTGCTTCGTTCTTAAGAAACGACGCAATATATCAATATCACTATATTGTTGCTTGTCAAAAGATTCACGCAATACATCAATATAATATGTCCTTGCTTCGTTCTTAAGAAACGACGCATTATATCAATATCAGTATATTGTTGCTTGTCGAAAGATTCACGCAATATATCAATATAATATGTCCTTGCTTCGTTCTTAAGAAACGATGCATTATATCAATATCAGTATATTGCTGCTTGTCAAACGTTCACGCAATATATCAATAGGCCTACTCTGGGGCGGTAAATCGCCTTAAATCGCCGTGATATAATGCGTTTTTGGGCGATTTTAGGCGATTTAAGGAAAAACTGGGACTTTCAAACACTGCGATTTAGTGCGATTTAGTGCGATTTTAGGCGATTTAAAATCGCCTTGCTGACAAAACCGTTGTATTTTCCGAACATGAAGTATCTAAAGTAGTTGTCATGGTAACACGATAATTTTTTAAGAATATTCCAGTGAAATATTCTTACAAATGAAAATCGCCTAAAAATATCACTTTTAATTGCAAAATTATCAATTTCCCAACATATTTATGTTAGGTATGTAATTATACATAATACAAGCTTCAATTTAAGGTAAAATTCAACCACAAACAATTCACAAAATGCATGTTTTAAAGTGTTCTTTATAAAACTAAACTGCCTTTAACTATTAAATTAATTAAATGGCTTTATCGATAAACTTTGAGTTTGCAATAAAATGATTTCAAATTCTCGCTTGCAAATAACTTTGCTTTATTTTTTATTTAAAAAATTCAATATAATAAAAAAGGGAATCAATATTAAAGATATACTGAAATTATATGCTGTCTTGTTTAGTTGTTTCATATACGCAAAGGCCGTCGGGTTTTAAAGCCATTATAAAATCAATATTCAAAACAAACTTACCTTCGTTAACGTCGGCTCCCTTCTTTTAGCTGATTCTTTCGCCCTTTCTTTCTTGAAATTTACAAGATCTTGCAGAAATACGAGCAAAAATGAAGAATATTTGCAAGAAATTTATCAATCATCAACTCATCAAATCAAGAAATGTTTGCTATTTCGCTGTCGTCATGCAGCCGTTATAATGCAAACTTTAAATTGGACCAATCAGTGTCCGTTAATCATGACAGTCCGCCATATTTTTGAGATCAGTGAGGATGACCACCCATCGTTGGTGACCGACGCCCGCGCTCATTGATGAACTTTAGACTTCGCTAATGCTTTCGTTTCCCCGGGTGTAAATAGCCGGGGGGAATTAGTACCCTCGCACGGCGCTTCGCGCCGCCGGCTCGGGGATAAACACAGCTGGAAAAGTAATATCATATTCTCATTATATTGTTGTAAAGATAAATAGTCTAGACTAACATAAGTAATCATAATACTTGATGTAATCGGTGACTGAAATGCCCCAATGGGGAGTGAGCTGAATAATGTAATGTTTCCACACACATATGCATTGTATGAAGCAAAATACAATTATATTAGAACATGTATGTACATTTTGTATAAAGCTAGGTTAATAATTATTGTATTTAACCCGAATCATATATAAAGCTCAATATTCATGAACATTTCATCCATTGTCTATTTAGAAGCCATTGGAATTCATCCTGTGGGGTCATGTGGTCATTCATGACTACATTATATACCACAAATATTGCAAACACTTAATAAATATACTCTACTTAAGGGCCATGTACGGTTGAACCGAAATTAGCAGAGGAGGTTGGACAGCTAATTAGCGAGTTGTCACGTGAGCTCTCGACCAATGAGATCGCTCTATTTTCCATCGTGTTATCTGCAGAATTTGGACGGAAAAATTTGCATTCGACGGAAAATAAATCGGAAAAAAATATTAATATTAAAATTTTCTTGCAAAATCTCAAGTGTTGTAGTACTACTACTAAAGATCTGGCGATATCTGCAAAAATCTCTGAGGTAAACTTTATTTTCAATGTTATTTTGATGTTTGAAGTTAGTCGACTCCCCGCGACGTGTTGACTCAAGTCTAAATATGTTTACGATGTTTAAAATGAAATATCTAGAATTCCCATGGTTCGATTTTCTTCATTTTTGGTAGTCGTCAAGCAAAATATATAAGCTTTATATCTGCTGGAATGATCCCGGTGATCCCCCGGCAGTTTTCGAGATATTGACCGTTGAAGTGACTATTGTCAACTCGACGTTCGCTAAAATGGCGTCTAATACCTTGGAAAGAAAATGCGCCATCAAAGATGATATTTTCAATGAATTTTTGTTAAAGTGCTAGAATATTATTTAGAAGACTTAGGAGTTGTTTTAATATTTTTGTAGAATTTATATCTGTGCGATTTTCAAAGTTTTGTTGTCTTTGGCCGACGCGACTCGATCGTGTACGTATTTCAAGACGAGCTGATCGCCTGATCCTGGGGTTTTTGCATAGATATCTATGGGTTTTGGGGGCAAATCGAGCTGCGGAATCCTCAGCATGGACAAATCAGTGTCATAACAGCCCATTTCAAACCATCAGAGAGCTCCACTTGTTTTAAAGCAATAAAACAAGTTTTTATTGTATTATCATATGTATCATATATAATTAATATAAACAAATTAAGGGAGCGGTCATTATTTATGGGGAGGGGGGGTTGGCAAATGGGGAAAATAAGGATTAAAAACTTCTTTGACCCCTCCTCTCCAGACTGAAGGCAAACTTTTTGTGCCTCCCCCCTCTTAAAATAGAAACTTTTCTGCCCCCCCCCCCCCAGTGGGGATTGAAAAATTAACAGCAATGAAACAGTTAGATATTAGGACAATCTGTTTAAATCTAGCTCATGATGTTTTACCCTGGTGAATATGATTCAACCATATATGATTAAAAAATATATATTATGTGTTACTACTTTGCAATGCAACATTTGTCCTACCATAACCCTAACCCATGGCCTGTCTTCATACAGCAAAATGATTTGAACACAGGGCTTTTTTTAAGAACTTCTCTGGAGGGTGGGCATCTACAAAAAGGGACCATACTATACTGAGTGTGGAGAGATGACAGATATGGTTGTTTGAGAAAAAAAGTTTGGTGTGATATCGTATGTACTAGTAGGGGGGTCTGGGGGTATTGTCCTCCAGAAATGTTTTTGTATTTTTCCACCCCTAGGAATGAAATGTGAGCATTTTCTGAAACAGATTTTTGGATATACAGCATTACATTGTGCTTTGATAGACCGAATCTGATCAGTTAAGTGTACTTGCATGGTATGTTTATGTAAATACCACTGACTGGGTGGCATTTTCTGAGTCTTCTTTTTGCTATTTGTGATTATAGAAATCAGAAATCTAGACATGGTATTTAAGTTCAAAAACTTTTTTGACCACCCCTTTCTCTGTGTTAAAAACTTTTTTGAGCCCCCTATTAGTATACAACCTCGTCCCCAGGGCCTTTTGAGGAAAGATGCGAAGGGCAGCAAAGGCCCTGGTAAAGGCTGGTGAAATAATCCACAAATTGTGGATTATTTTGTCACGTGATATATCGGAGCAAATACTATACAGGGGGGTGCGATCGCGGAT